AAGAGAAGGTGAACAAGAAAGTAAGAAATCACCCCCTGGTGGGATGGCCACGCTGCAATCCCTTCTCCCCCATTCTGCTTTAGACACATACATAATTTTCAAGCCAGTGGTCCAGGACTTGAACCAGGGTCGGCCTTGTGGGAGTCCAGAGATATAACTGCTCCACCATCTGCTGGCCCCACCACAACAGTTTCGAAGTCCCTTGTAGGTGAGCAACAGACATGAAATGTAGCATCAATTTTTTTTTAAAGAATTGTTTATTTTATTATTAGTTTTTTTAAAGAATTGTTGTATTGAACTTTATTTCTTTATTCATTTTAATTTGACCAGAGATGGACAGAGAGAGAGAAAGAGAAAGGGAAAGTGAGAAAGCAAGCTGCCAGGTCTGGGACTCGAACCGTGGTTGGCCATGTGGGAATCCAGTGCCTTAACCACCACACCACCTGCTAACCCCAATTATTATTAATTTTTCCTTTGACCAGAGAGAGAGAAAGAGAAAGGGAAAGTGAGAAAGCAAGCTGCCAGGTCTGGGACTCGAACCGTGGTTGGCCATGTGGGAATCCAGTGCCTTAACCACCACACCACCTGCTAGCCCATAACATCAGTGCTTTACCATAGCAACTAGAACTGCAACTTGCTTTACTTCTATGAAAATATTAAATAGCGTTTATTTAAAATTTCAGTTTGCAATAGTTTTATTTATAAATAAACAGCATTTATTTATAAGGGACACCAAAAAATATACCTTTCTAACAATTCGATTTAAAATGTTGATAGTCACTGATAATGTAATCAGCATGACCTAGTTTAAGCCACATTGAAATGCTTTAGAAGAAAACCTTTTTGGAACATAATATAAAAATACCATTTTGGGGACCAGCAGTTAGCGTAATGGCTATGTCGCTGGACTCCCATGTAGCCAACCACAGTTCGAGTCCCAGAACCAATGGCTTAAACTCACGCCAGGCGCGTGTGCGTGCGTGCCCAAGATCCCAAGAGGAGAATGGAGGAGAAGGGATTGCAGCATGGCCATCCCCCCTGGGGGGTGGTTTCTCACTTTCTGTCTCTATGTCTCTCTTTCTGGTGAGTGCACGCACCCCATAGCAAAAACCTCTCAAAAACAAATCATTTTTACTGGGGTTAGCAGGTAACATGGTTAAGACACTGGACTCTCACATGGTTGGTGGCAGTTTGAGTCCCCAAGCTGGTGGCTTTTTTTTTTCTCACTTTCTGTCTCTCTTTGGTGAGCACACATGCCCTATAGTAAACTTAAAAATAATAATAATAATCAGGGACCAGCAGATGGGTATAGTGGTTATATCGCTGGACTCCCACATGGCCAACTGCAGTTCAAGGTCCAGACCCAGTGGATTGAAACTCAATCCAGGCCCGTGTGCGTGCGTGCCCAAGATCCCGAGAGGAGAATGGAGGAGAAGGGATTGCAGCGTGGCCATCCCCCCTGGGGGGTGATTTCTCACTTCTCTCTCTCTTTTTCTCTCTCCCTCTCTCTCCAGCAAATGCACATGCTCTATGGCAAATACCTCTAAATAACAGTAATAATAATAAATAAATAATTGTTTTTTGGAGAGGCTTTTTTGCTATAGGGCGCGTGTGCTCACCAGAAAGACAGAGAGAGACAGAGAGACAGAAAGCGAGAAATCACCCCCCAGGGAGGATGGCCACACAGCAATCCCTTCTCCTCCATTCTCCTCTCGGGACCTTGGGCACGCATGCACACGCGCCCGGCGTGAGTTTAAGACGCCGGGTCCAGGACTTGAACCGCGGTCGACTACATGGGAGTCCAGCAACATAGCCATTATGCCAACTGCTGGTCCCTATAAATAATTTTTTAGAAAAATATTTTTATTATAAGGTGTGTATGCTCACCAGAGAGACAGAGAGACAGAAAGTGAGAAATCACCCACACACACACCCTCCATCCTCCCCCCCAGAAGGATGACCATGCTGCAATCCCTTCTCCTCCAATCTCCCCTAGGGATTTTGGGCATGCATGCACACGTGCCCCGCATGAGTTTGAAATCACTGAGTCTGGGACTTGAACTGCAGTCAACCGTATGGGAGTCCAGCAATGTAACCATTATGCCATCTGCTGGTTCTGTATAAATTTTTTTTTAAATGATAATAATTTTTCAGTTAGATTCACCTTGGAATATATCCCAGGCCCATATCACCTCCACTCTCACCCCCAGAGGGGGGGAGGTTTTTGGTATAGGGCAAGTGTGCTCACCAGAAAGTGAGAGATCACCCCTCCAAGGAGGATGGCCACCCACCACAATCCCTTCATCCCCCGTTCTCCTCTCTCAAGGTTTTGGGCACGTGTGCGCCCCGCATGAATTTGAAGCCACCAGGTGCAGGCCTTGAACCACGTTTCCCTAACATGAGAGTCTAGCGACATAGCCATTGCGCCAACTGCTGTTCCCAGCGCCCAGATGCATTTCCAGACTCAGACGCCCCCTGTGGGTTCAATCCCACGACAGTAGGACCGCCCCTGCCTTTACTCTGCCTGACCGCCAGGTGGCGCCAGCCCAACCTGAGCGATCCTCAGAGTCTTTCATCTCTATGATCCCCGCAGCGGCTGGAGCGACCCGGAAGTTGTGGCTGGCGAAGGAGGCTGTGCTTCCGGGCAGGAGCGAGGTGACCCCGGCTGCTGCAGGGACCTTCGGGGACAGCAGCGATGGGGGCTCACCTGGCCCGGCGCTACGTGGGCGATGCCTCGACTGAGCCCGACCCCCTGCGGATGCCCACCTTCCCGCCCGACTACGGCTTCCCCGAGCGCAAGGAGCGAGGTGAGGCCCAGTGCGCAGGCGCGGCCGGCGGGAGGGCGCGCGAGCTCCGGGACCCCGAATCCTGCAACCTGCAGGGCTGGGCTCGAGCCTGCTCGCTGTGTCTGGGGCTGCAGGAGGCCAGAGGACGTGGGTGACTCTGCCTGAGACTGGGAGCATTCCAGACGGAGGGGAGCGTGGAGAAATGTCCTCAGAGCTGGGCTTGGTCCTGGGGGCACTGGGGAGCCACGGGAGACTTTATCAGGGAAGGGGCACGAGCATTTACCCCGTTCAGATGGCAGTGGCATTTTTATATGTGCATGCGCGAGAAAACAGAAGGAGCGCTCAGGGGTGCGCACTGTCCTGCACGTTGCTTTTTTATTAATTTTTTAAATTGTATTTATTTGTGCACTTATATTTAATTTGACCATAGAGAGAGAAAGTAAGCAAACAAGCCGCCAGGTCCGGGACTCGAACCGTTATGGCCCATGTGGGAGTCCAGTGCCCTAACTACTGTGCTACCTGCTGGCCCCTGCCCCCCCCCTTTTTTTTTTAATGTTATAGTGTCATAGACGAGTCACCTGTCAGCTCTGGGCTGAGTCCCACTTCAGGTACCTGGGACACAGCGGGGAATTGGAGGGGTGCAGGCAGCATCTTCAGTGAACTTACACATAGCCCAGTGAGGAAACAGGGAATCCAAGCAGATCCAAAGGGGTGGCAACAGTGGGGGTTATCATGGCAGGCTTCCAGGAGGCAGTGGCTGCAAGCAGAGACCCAAAAGGAGGTTAGTAGTAGTTGACCAGGCAGGGGACAGAGCCAGGGCTTCTAAGCAGAGGAGGGTCCAATCGGATATGTTTCATCAAAAGTCTTGCTGGCTGCTGGGCGGGCAATGGGTGACGTGAAACAGGGAGATCTCTAAGCAAGGAGTCTTTAAGGGGGAGCGTGCAGGAAGGTCTGGATGTGAAGGCTGGACACTGACATTTTCCTGTGGCATCCCTCCAACCTGTAATCCATTGATCCACCTCCTTACAACACTAATCCTTACCTTGGCCCCCGGCTGCTTTGCCCATAGGGCGCGTGCGCTCGCCAGACAGAGAGAGACAGAGAGACAGAAAGCAAGAACTCACCCCCCAGGGGGGATGGCCACGCCACAATCCCTACTCCTCCATTCTCTTCTCAGGATCTTGGGTACGCACGCACACCCTCCCGGCGTGAGTTTAAGCCACCGGTTCCGGGACTTGACCCACGGTCGACTACGTGGGAGTCCAGCCACATAGCCATTACGCTTACTGCTGGCTCCAGTGCTTTTTTCTTATATCCTTAAGTTTTTGCTATAGGGCACATGCAATTGCTGGAGAGAGAGGGAAAGTGGAAATGACACACCGCACTCCCTTCTCCTCCCTTCTCTTCTCGGGATTTTGGGCATGCGCACACACATGCCTGGCATGTTCTTTAAGCCTCCGTGTCTGAGACTCATCCTCTTAGTTGGCCTGTGAAATCCAACCACCCCAGTGACCACACCACCTAGCCAGAGGGACACACACCCCTCAGAAGCGTGGTCATACCACGATCCCTTCTCTTATTTCTTCCTACCGTGGGATTTTGGACACACATACATGCACCCGGTGTGTTTTCAAGCCACTGGAGCCAGGACTT